AGGGTTCCTTGTTGTTTGTACACCCCTCCTCTGCCCTTTTTTAAAAATAATTAAACTCTGTTTATCTCAGTGCACAAGTTTTCCCACTTCCATCCTTCTCATTCTACTCCTGATCCTGTTGGGGAGAAGGGGGAGAAAGTGAGTGAGCAGCTCTGTGCTGCTGAGCTGCCTACCAGAGTTAAACCATGACACGCTGTGCATTAATACATGAGCTCATGTGGGTTTGTTTTAGAAATCAAGTAAACTTTAGGTTCTGAGTGTAGCTTTTCTCTTTTTTTTTTTTTAATTAGATTGTTAACTTTGGACCTATTTTATAATAAATAGTTGCACATAGTAAAAACCCAACAGAGAACTCACTGCCTCAGGGAAAGGAGGCAGAGTTACAGTTCATGCTAATCTGCCTGAAAGTGGGCAATACACAGTACTTGATCCTCGAATCTGCTTCTGAACTAGACTGACAGCTTCTAATTTTTTTCACCTATGGGTCACATTGCAGTTTATCTTTTCTCCAGACTTTGAGGAAGAGTGTGAAGGAATTTCAAGACGTGGAAAGGTTTAGTATGTTAGTTGAGGTTGGTTAAGAAGGGATTTCATTAGTGGACATTAATTCAGGCAGTGCGTATTTACATTTGGCTGAAACCTTTTGTTTATGCATCTAGAGACAACAGGCACAGGAACTTTTAAACTACAAATAAATATATGCATGCCATTTTGTGGATGGCAAGTTAAATCCTAAGGACCAACATGGCAGCTGGCCAACTGGTAATCATGCTGAGCCTTCAGAATTATCCCTGACATTTATGCACAAAGCAGGTAGATGAGGCTTGCCAGGCAGGAGCCAGCAAACGAAAAGTACAGTGAACAAACATGATACGGGGGAGGGGGCAGAATTTTAAACTGTGAAGGGAAAGCTGTGATTCCAGGGCATAATTTTCACTGTAGCTTGTAGCAGTGGCAGTGGAGAAAAAATCCAGACATGAAAAGCCTAGAACAACCCCTTAATCTTCTTTGTGCCTGTCCTGTGTGACAAGTCACCCTTTGAAATCAGAAGAGATAGTCTAGGAAAGGAAAATCTGAGCATAAAGAGACTGGGCAATGCTTAGAGGTAAGGAGAAGTCAGAACAAAGAAGGTTTCTACTTAAGATGCTGCACTGTGACTCAGAGGAACTAAATTTTCTTCCTGCATCTTTCCTCCTTTTCCTCTGGCAAGTTACTTTATCACTCCAAATCTTAGTTCCCCAACTGAATAATGAGGCAGTAATATTAAACAGTATGTTTCTTTTCATACATGAGAGCATTTGTTTGTTTGTTTGTTTGCTTAAAACTGGAATAATTTTACAGACTGTAGGAGGAAATGGTGCGAGAAATAGTTGAAAAAGCAAAGTAGAGGGGGCAAAAGAGAAGGAGTTGTGGCAAAGGCTGAGGGCAGGAATCTTTTACCGTGGATCAACAAGATCAGACATAACAATTTATGAACACATAAAAATAGTTTAATCAGAGAAAATGCCTAGTACAATTAGGACCCAAACTAAATAGAGACATTTAAGTACTGTTGTTATTGGATAATACTAATAATGAGAGATGAGCTGCCTGTAAGGTGTTATTTGTGTGAAGATAGCCTGAACTGTATTAGCTGGCAATTCATTGACAATTGCAGCTGTGCAAAACCAGACTGATGTTACTCAAGTCTTTTGCTCAGTACCACAGGGAAAGCTATGAGAAAAACAGATGTTCAGTGGGGTCAAAGTTAAAAAGGAAACATGTCACAAAAAAGGGTTTCAGAAATATGACCTGAGAAGAGTGACAGAAGATAATGCTGCAGTAGGGTAGACAGCTTTGTTGACCTCATTTTTCAACAGATCTCAGCTAGCTTCAGCTGCTGTCCTGTATGCATAACACACATGAAATCTGAGGCTGGCTTACATAAAGACTTCAGAGGCTTCTGTAGGAGCCAACAGCAGCATTACAGCTTGTAAATGTATTTACAGTATAATATTGTTACTTCACATAACATAAATGTGATGAATTCTGCATAGAGAGAAAACAAATCTCTGTCTTTTATAAACTGTTTTACTAGCATTATTTACACATCATACAAAAATAAGGCTTTTCTGTTAAACCAGGGATAAAGAAGCAGAATGAGGCAAAAATATCACATATGCAACACTGTCCTTTCTACAATTTGCAGTCTTTATGAATGACGTAGAGAAGGCTGAGATAATCCTATAATGTTTCTGTGTTTCTCATCTTTATTTTAGGGAAAATAACAAAACTGTGTGCTTGGTTATCATACACATAAAAAAGCAAAGTCATATTTTTAATTCACATGTTTTTCATGTTCTGAATATAGCTGTAGGGCTGAATCCCTGTTAGGGAATTCTGTACAATTACGGTCAGGTGACAACACTATGCACCTTCCATTTTTTAAGTCTTTCTCCAGTCTTTCAGAAGGTAGAAAGGAATTAAGTACACTTTCTAAATACTGGGATTATAATTTCTTCCTGTAAATTACATTATGTAGATTTCATATTACAGTAAGTGCTGAAGACCTTGGCCAAAATGACTTTATGTGCTGAACAGTCTATGCATGTTTATTGACACAGAGACCCTGCCCTTGAGCACACAGAATTGTGACAGGCAATAGGTGTGTTAATACCAACTTGTTTGGGAGTGGAGAGGTAGCGTGGTGAGATCAAATTACTTACTGAGATCATAGAGCTATGGAAACTAAGCTTAGATCTTCAGGAAGTCTAACAAGATGAGTATTACTCTTCTGTTCAAAGCAATTAGCTTGAAACACAAGACCAATACCTCATTAGAAGTCTCCCTTGTAGGGAGAAAATTAATTTTCTTCTTCACTCAGACACTTGTGTGACAGAACACTCAGGTGACACCTTATAGGGTGACACCTAATGATCAGTGGAGTCATTAAATGCTTTAAATACTCAGCCACAGATGTAGACTCATCCAGTCCAGATGTTTGAGAACTAAAGCCACAGATGAGTATCTAATTGCTTTTCCTCAGCACTGCCTCTAGTACCCTAACAATTTTGAGGTTGTTGGAAGAAACCCGAGAAAAAATTATGGCATGTGCTGCATTTTTGGAGGTGCTGCACTCCTGCAGCTCCTGTTGACTTCCCTGAGGCTGAGGTAAGGCAGCTCCGCAGAGAAGCAAAACCATTGTACCTGCTTGAACAGAACTCCAGATCCTCTTTGGGCATCACTGCTGACTTCAAAGGAGGCTGAGGATCTGACCACAAAGAAAACAGAGCCAGTACATACACCAATTGTTTCACTGCAGGCACCAAATGTATTTCTGTGCAACTTACCCTGTTCCCCATAACCTGTCACATTCAGCAAGAAAAGCTCTGGAGGAAAGATGGATATAGTAAATCAGGCTATTGTATTATTTGAAAATAATCTTCTCCACAGGGAATATAGGCTAGGGACTTTTAAGAAGATGGGACTTCAGAGCTGACAAGTGTATTTAGCGTGTCAATGTGGTAATGAAGTTAGTTCTGCACTGTTTGGAAAATAGCAAATTTCCTTGCAAGGTTTGTGATTAAACAGCTAACAGAAAATAATGATTTCCTTGCAGGCACTTAGGCACCAAATACAAAGACACAGAGGGAGAGCCAACCAGAGGAAGAACCTGCTAAATATCACTACTGAAAGCCACTATTATTGTAGAGTCCTCATATAGTCACTGTTAATTACAAAACTAGTATCTATAACATTGAAGTACCCAGTGGGAGAAAGTATGACATTTAACTCACAGAATTCCTTCTCCCTTCAATCCTTTTATACACACGCACACAAAAAGTGCTTATTTTGTAAGAAACATCAGTTGGAGAGAGATGATAGAATATTGATTTGCATGTGTATCTTCTTATTGAGAAGGAACAACAAATTAGTTAAATTACATAGGAGAAAGGAGATTTTGCTGCATATAAGTAAAGATTTCTATAATGAAATTGCATAAGCAGAAGAACAATGTTTGCTTACCTGGGGATGAAGTGGGACAGCAAGTATTTCTGCACATTACTGTGAGTGTGGGGAATTGTACCTTACCTGAGCCAGTGGGAAATGTTTGTTATGTTGAGCAGAGAGTCACATTCGTGCTACTTCTGCCTACACAAAATACTAGATAAAATGGGAAACATATGAGCAAACTGAGTATGAGATATTTGGAAGAAATCGGGGGGGGGGGGGGGGGGGGGCGGGCGCTATCCTTCTTGAAGGAACTGGTTGCTTCTTTCTGTGCCATTTTACTCTTCTTTTTCATAATTTCTCTCCTTCTATGTTAATTTATATTTTGGTGAGAGGAAATCTGGGGAGTGGACAAAACCAATTCCTTGTTTTTTTTTTTTTCTCCTTCAGATTTATTTTATTTTCTGAGAAAAATTAGATAGGAGAGGAAAGAAGATGGAGAGAGCAGAGGAAAAGAGATAAAGGGAGGGGAAAGGAGAAGAGCAAAGAAGAGAGGAGAGGAAAAAGCAAAGGGAAGAGAGGGAAAGGGCAAGGGAAAGAAGGGAAAAGGAAGGGGAAAGGGAAAGGTGAAAGGGAAAGGGAAAGAAGGGAAAAGGAAGGGGAAAGGGAAAGAAGGGTAAAGGAAGGGGAAGGGAAAGGAAAAGGGAAAGAGGGGAAAATGAAGGGGAAAGGAAAATTGAAAGGGAAGTGGAAAGGGAAAGGGAAGGGGAAAGGGAAATGGAAAGGGGAAAGAAAAGGGAAAGAGAAAGGAAATAAATGAAAAAAACCTACAACAAATGAACAGGATTCCTACAATATCTTCTCACGGACTGGCATGGAACTAGGTACAAATACTGGCAGCACAACTGAGAATGCTGCACATCCTCCTTCTGTGAGATTAGAATGTCAAATTCTAAGTTGCCTTAGTCTGTATTTTCAAATAATGACTTCTGAATTTGGTCTTTCTTAAAAACAAAGCAGCATGAATTCTCCTATTTGAAAAATAATATAGATAAAAAAGGATAATCTGATTCAATAAAAAAGATGTGAATATTTAATTTGTTAGACTTCTCTCTAGAGAATAGAGCAGCTTCTTTTTAAATACACATTGGTTTACTCACAGTTACTGTGGGTAGGTATTTTTGCCAATCAAACACAACAGGTATATATTGTGGAACAACTTCAGGAGGAGTTGAGGCAACTCAATAAAAACAAATAGGTTGCCACACTTAGGCAAGAATAATAAACTACAAAAACATAAGGTGAGGAATGCCAAGCTATGTAAGAACATCACAGAAAAAGATTTGGATATTAATATAGATCATAGGCTGAACAGGAGTAAACAATGTTACACTCCTGTAAAAAAGGCAAACCCTTATTGCAATTTATAGCCAGTGTTACCACCTACAAAACCATTAAGTAATTCTTCAGCTCTCCTTGAAGCTCTCTGTGCTACAGATGGGATGCTGTGTCCAATTCTGAATACTCAAGGATGTTATGGTCCTACTGGGAAAAAAACAGAGGAAGACAACAATTATCAGGCTTCATAAAGTATACTTATAGAGAAAAGCTAAAGGAATTGCGTTTATACTGAAATTCACTTAAACAGCTAAACTTCAGAGAAAACTAAGAGGTAAAACAATAGCTGTTTTCAAATACAGAAAATGTAGTTTCAGTGAGAGGAACAATCAGTTCTCTGTGTCTGCTGCGGACAGGACAGAAACATTTTGCTCTCACAACTGCTTATCTCTACTGAAGTGCTGTCTGGAAATTCACGTTACCCAACTATCACTAAATACAGTCTTTGCACAACTAACATTTTCCTGGTGCATTAAAAATACACCTAAGAAATACAAGTTGGGAAAAGCATGGGAGAATTGGAGAAAAGGAGAAAAATTCCTCCTTATGATTGTAGATTGCTTTCCTCTGAAGCAGCTACTGTGTTGAAACTGTTTTCAAAAAACCTTCCCCTCACCTCTGTGCTGAATGAAGCTACAGAAAAACCTGGCACAAGCTTGATCTGAAATAAGATAACTCCCATTTTGGAATGGACTGTGTGATGAAGATATAGTTATAAAATAAATAATGATTCAGCTCTAACTTTCAATTTTGTCCTTATTAAGTTGCTCAACCAGGTGTTGAAGCCAATAGAATTTGCTTTTCCTCTGCTGGAAGGCTATTTTGAGTGCAGCGTGACTGCAGAACAGCCACTTATTAGCTGCTCAGCAGTGCTCTCTGCTTTTCTGCTACAATCCCCCGCAATTGCTCAAACAACACTTTTGCCAATACTCATCTAGCTCAATCGGTAGCTATAATGCTGGAGTATGAAATTATGTGGTGGTTGCAATGGTGGGTAAGTTGCCTGCTGTTTAACGTCTCTGTTTCATGGCCTGGTATCGGCAGGGATGCAATGCTGATTTTCAGCTCCAGTTTGTATTTAATTGTTTCTCTCTTCAGTCTATCCAATCGAATTCCCTCATAGATTCCATGCAGTATTCATCCTGGCTGAAATTCCTGGGTGGTGTTACTGTGTGCTGTTACAGAGTTGCCATGTCATGATGAGGGATGTAATCTTTCTGCATCCCAACTGGACTGCGAGGATTAATTAAAGTTTGCAGTGTACTGTGAGTACCTTGCATGCTATTGAAATGGAAATTATTGTTTGTTACAGCCAGTCTGAATGCCATCTGGGATTTCCATGTTACTGTTTCAGCTCTCTTGTACATCACCAAGCTTGAGTTGGTACCATAAATGGAAGATTAGCATTGTACTCTGTTGTGTGTTCAGTGCTATGTCCAGCACCTGTATAAGACCACATACATCCCGAGAAGCTGCTCTTGGCATGCTAGGACTCCAAGGTCTTTTCTGTAGCATGAAGCCTGAAACATCCCTTTCCTTTTCCTGCACTTTCACTCCAGCATGGGCTCTATCCACAGAGCAGTGGATCCCTTTGGCCTTTTTCACTCTTACCCTTGTCTGCTATTAACTTCAAGTCAGCTTTGGGAGACTGCATAAGAAATTACCTTGAAATTGGGCTCTGCATTTTGCAAAACATGCTGTTTCTCTTTGTCATGTTAAATCCTATGAGGACACGGCGAAAAGGGCTGACCTTGCCTGAGAACCAAGCCAGGGATGTAAAGCAATGCAGAGCCATCCCACAATATACTTGTATGCTTGTAACACCTACAAAACTTAACACTGTTTTGCTAGGTGACTTCTGCAATTTCTGCAGTGTCAGGTGGATATCTGTGAACTAAAAAATTACAGCCATGATTTGTTACTCTGCTTTTATGTATCAGTTTTAGTTCAGCTAAGAGTGCATTTTAAAACACATCCCTGTGACTTCACTGTCTTTGTAAGCCACAATAAACAAACAGGGTTCAAATGACTGTGCGAACTCCCCCAGTATTATGACAGATACTCATTATTGACAGAAAAAAAATGCATAAAATGGAACCACCCAATTCACTTGTGAGCTATCCCTTGGAAAGAGATCAGCTAAGAGTTTGAAGTTCACATTCTAACTGCAGGATTCTATTATCTTACCTAAATAAACTGAGAGGCTTGAACATCCTAAAAGGGCACTATTTTTAAAGAGGTACAACTGTAGTCTTCTCACCACACTAATCACTGCTGTTTACATTTTTGTAGATCTGACAGACTTCAGTTTTAGACCCCTATGCTGAGTGCTAAATAAATACCTATCAAAACTTAGACACTATCCCACTGAGCATCACGTTCCCTCACTCTCCCCACAGCATCAGTCTCCTCAGCCTTCAAAGTGTCCCTTCTGGTTTTGGGGACAAGCACAAAATCAATTTGGCATGAATTCTGCTGTAACTGCTTTTCAGTGAGGACAGCGTCATGTGCATTTCTCTCCCTCTCCCTTCCCCCCCCCCCCCCCCATGAGACATTAGTTTCTGGTTTTATGAGGAAAAGCACAGGTGCTTTCAGATTCTGAAGGCAGACAGAATGATACTTATTTGATAATTTTCAAGCAACCACACTATGTGGATGTATATTTGTTTGTCTCTACTCATCTCCAACCTGCTGTCCAGTTTCAATCCATTTTTATTCAGGGATATTAAGCTCTTAGAAAATTCATAAAAACAAGCAACTGATTACAGAAAATAAACAGCATTAGTGACCCTTCCAGGCAAAGGTTTCAGCAAAGATAATACTCATCTGTGGCATTTGGCCTGGATAATGGGAAAACAGCATGGAGAACTCAGAAACATGTGTTCCCAGCTAGTACCTGGGAGCAAGGAAATAAGGTTATAAAAAATATGAACAGAAAGCTCCAGGAGAAATTTCAAGGAATATGTGGCTTCTGACAAATCTACAGGAAGCAAAGTTAAATAGAAAAACATAGGAGATTACCAGAGCATCAAAGCAAAAGAAAGGATGGAGAGGATATGCAAAAGGGGCAGAAGCATTTAAGAATGAACAAATGGGGCAAGGGGAAAAAGGAGAAAATTGGGATAGGGGAAATTCTGGGAGGGACAGGTAAAGAACTGGGGAGAACAGAGAAGAGGCTGGGAATCAGAATGAATGAATGATACAAGAGAAAGTGATGTCTAAATTTTTATTACAAGATAAACACAATTTATTGTCATTTTAGCTTCTTTAATTACCTTTCAACCTTTTTTTAATGATGCCCATATGTTGCAAATAACAGGGGTTTATGACTTTTGTTCTCTCACCTTTCCCATGGCTTACATTCCCACTTTAATTGCTACAGATGCTCCGCCTAATGTTTTTGCAGCAGTGGTTCCTACTCGTGGTGATGCCGCATTTAGGGAAACAAAACGACTTGTCCCTCCCGGTCGAAGGTTACTTGCTGTTCTGGTGGATGTCCACCAGATGGCAAAGCCGGCATTTTTGTGGAGTTTCCAGGACACCTTCAAATATTTTACCCTGGAGAGAGCGGGGGCTTGTTTAACAACAAATCCTTTACGGCATAGATTAAAAATAAACGATTAGGTGCCATGTGGATTTCCTGGGAATAACAATAAAACAGGAAAATAAAAAATGCAGTTAGACAATGGGAGTGCTGTCAGGAAGGCACAACATTCACTCTAGTCACCATGTGTCTCTGCATGAGGAAAACAAATCTCAAGAATCTCTGTTAATGTTACCACTTTTCTCTGTTGATAGAAATTTTATAGGGTCAATAATGTTTTCTGATGTCTGATCTCTTTGAAATTGTTGTGACTAGACAAGGTCTTAGAATGAAATCCACGGTAAGTGAAACAAACTTCCCAATTTACGTGGTTATACAAATAAGAATAGCAATGAGACTTCTTAACACTCTTCCCTCTAACCTGGCCTGATGATGTAAAGATTGTAGTGATGGAGATAAGCACTGATCTTCTTACGTTACCTCTATGGCGTTCTCTTACTGTTTTAACCATATTGGCTCAGGAAACATGTATCACTTAATCTTTGAAACTCTGTTGCACATATGTAAGGAAATTGAATTTTCTGAAAGAGGCCACATCAGGATAGCATCTTTTATAAACTAATGTAACTGTATTAGTATGGAAGCCTTGTGCAGATAGCCATGTATCTGACATTATGAAGTGCTGGATGTTCTTAATCACTTAGCTTAATTTACATTGCATCATTACATCGCCCCTTCATGTAGAGCACTATCTCTGCTGAAAGGCGTATACAGGAGGCAATGAAAAAATCTAAGCCCTTTAGCATCCTCCAAGAAACTTAACCCCTTCTCCCTACAAAATAGCCAACTCCATGTCAACAGTTTATAGCCTTAAACAAAAAATCTAAAAAACTAAAAAAAGGGTGTTTTTTTTTATATATATAAATAAAATCAATGTCCTTTGAGGTTTGATTTCTGTCTAGTGGCAGGAAGAAGGGAAGGGTAATTTGCTGCTTTAATGGTTTTGTAGGTTGACCTGAATTCTGCTTACAGCAGCGGAACTGTTGATAGGGGTAAGAGAAAATGTCACAGCTTTTCAGCTGGCTGGTTGACTTTCAGCTGGCATCAACTCTATTCATTCAATGGGTCCCAATCAATTATATCCTGTAGTACTCATTTTCCTGAGTATCAAGACACATGGAAAAAAGATGAGGCTGTTCCCACTGCAAGGAGTTAGGGTAGCATGGAAAAAAAAAAAAAGCTGGTGCTATATTTGGAGCATTCCTAATTGCACTGTTCTATTTCCAGATGCCAAAATCTGCGTTAGAATTTTAATTAAGGGCTAAATTAGTGCAGCAAATCCTAACAACAGGAAACAGCTATGTTAAATAGGCTTTGAAATGATCAGATTTTATCTCTCAAGAGTATCACTCGGATGAACATTAAAGCTGCTTTTGTTCATCTGGACAGGGCTGCACTTGCTCAGCAAGCTGAAGGAGGTCAGTCTCCACTTTGGAAAACCACTAACAGGCCAGCGGTCCAGAGGCCAGGCCGGAGAAGGCAGAGAGCCATTCCTTACACACATGGCATTCTCTAGCAGAAAATTTAGTAGGAAGCGCTGCACAGACTGCTAAGCACAACCTCTCACACCTCTTCCTTCTGTGCGATGAGGTCGACTTCCCCAAAGCCGGCGGAGAAAGCTCCCTCCCACCGTAAGATGGCGGACCCACCGCCTAGGACTCTTCGCAGCATCCCCTAGCGACAACAGAAACCCCGCAGCGCTCCTTCCCGTCACGGTGCCTGCAGAGCAGCACACCACACACGCAGAAGCGGCTCCGCGCATCCCGCTCCCTCCCCTCCCAGTGAGTCCTTAGGCGCATGCGTAAAGGGGAGAGGGGGAGGGGGGAGGGGGAAAGGGGGAAAGGGGGAAGGAGGGGTGGTGGTCCGGTTCCGGTCCCGCTTCCCTCAGCGCATGCGCACGGCTCGGCTCTGGAAGGCGCCAGAAGGGGCGGGGGAGGAATGTGCAGCTGCCGGCGCGGCCGGCGCTGGGGGCGGGGTTGTGGTCAGCTGACTCGCGAGCGTCGCGCTGGGTGACGGCGGTAGCCGCCGGGGCGGTAACGGTAGCGGTAGAAGTTGTGGTAGTGGCGGCGGTCTGGCGGGGCGCAACGAAGAATCTGGGCCCGAGGAAGGCGCCATGGCGACCACAGTCACTACTCAGCGCGGCCCGGTGAGTGTAGCCGCAGGGGCCTCTGGAGGCTGGCTGCTGTTAGTTCGTGCCCCTGCAACGCAGTGGGTGGTGGGGCCGGCCGGGACCCTTCTGGGCTTCGTCTTCTGTCCCTTTCCCCCTCGGCCTGGCTCCTGCTAGTGCGCCTTGGCGCGAGGGTGACTCACCTTTCTTGGCTGTCTCCCTTCCCCCGCTCACGGCCCGTGACAGAGGGAGAGGGGAAGGCAAAGACCTTTTCTCCAGGCTGCCGTGATGCGGGGAGGGGCCAAGGGAAGGAAAACTTGTCTCCCCGTTCTCCGCCTTGCGAAAAGACTTTGAGAAAGGGGAGGGCAGAGCAGAGCCCCTACTAGCTGCGTGTAGGACTTGAAGAGGCTATTCTACCCGTTCTTTGTCTAAGGGCCTTCCAGAGGGGCGAACGGCTTAAATTAAATCAAAGCTTCCTTCTCTTTGGAGTAGGGCTCTCTGTTTTCGTGGTTCGGCTGGCGGATTCAGGTAGCTGTCTCTGGAATTGTCACCTGAAAGCTGAAGCGTGAAACGTGCCGGAAGGCATATTCAGACATGTTTGTTACGGGTTGTGGAGCTAAGCAGCCTTAAAACCACATTAACAATCTTCTGGAGTTAGCGTAGGTAGTTTATTGGGAATGTGTTGTTGTCTAGTTTTGCCCTAGAATAATCTCTCCCAACACTGGGATATTCTGTTGTGTGGTGTGTAACTGCGTTGTAACGTCCAGTCTCTGCTGTCCTGTTCCTCCTGTCTGGAAGTACCAGGCGGTAACTGATGATGTATCGTTGCTCTTGCAGTTCAAACTCCTGTATTTTATTTCCTAGAAGCAGCTGCGTTTGTGTGTGTGTCTATGAAGCCTTGATGAAAGACCAGAGGAGTGAATTATTAAATTACTAAACTTGAAAAACTGCATCACTGTCTACTGCTATCTCATGACGTCAGTATTACACGATCATTAATTTAAGTCCTTAAAATGCCTTATATTTTGGTCTCCCAAAATTGATTCCTTTTACAACGGATTGTACTGGTGTTTCTCTTGTTGGAATAAAAGGTGGTTTGTTTGTTGTTGGTTTTTCTTTTGTCATCTCTTGATGGTATCA